CAGAATCTTTCTCTCGAAAACTCCAAGAGCCGCTCATCAGATGCTTTCATTGTCCATGCCTCCGCGCCACACACCAGCACAGGCATGATGAGTGATCTTTGTACGACGAGAGATGACTTTACTTCTCAATTGCCTACTCAACCCAAAGTAGCACTTGTTGGCAAGAGTGATTCTCCGTTGGATTTCAAGGCTGACATTATTATTGCTGTTAATGCTGGTTCTCAAATAAACGAAGTCGTCTACTTTTTCAAACTTGTAACCAGCGTTACCAGGTTGCCGTTTTTAACGTCATTTGGACGTTTTTTGTATCCTGTTGACGTTCGGACGTTTTTTGTGTAAAAATGACGTTTTTTAACTTCCCAGTAATTCTTTGTTACTAAATCTTGTAAGTAGAACTAATTTTGAATTATTTTCTTAACAAATCTTTACAAGCTTTTTTTTTCGTAGCACTTTTCTACAAAATATATTTATTCTTTGGACACAGATGACTTAACTATGATGCAAACCAAGCGGACGCGCCATTTTTTTTTGGATTTTTGGACTAACGATCTCGCGTTCAAAGGCTGGTTTTGTAAACACTTGAAGTTACGAGGCTTATTGCAATGTTTGCAATTACACATTAAAAGCCAAATCAGGAAGAGCTGATCTATTGCAAGACGCATGCTCGCAAAAGCATCAAAAAAGCTGTAGCAGCATAAAAAGTCAGAAAAAAGTAGGCGACTTTTTTAAGACTGCCGTGAAAATGTAATGAACGCAAAAACGGCTGAAATATTGCTATGTTCCTTCTTAGCAGACCGTAATTTAGCATTTTCGACAACCGATTACCTAACCAAAAGCTACAAGAAAAAAAAAACTATTAAAAATCAACGCGATTATTTAGCCCCTTTAAACTTGCACATTATTACCTCGGAATTTCATAGGCTTGATAGCATACTCAAAAAAAAAAATCCTAAAAATCTCAATAAAAGGTGAAAATCTGGCTGAGATTTTGCAGATTTTATATAATTTTTGCACAAAGTTAGAAATTTGTTTGTTTTATAAAAAGCTAGGCTTTTATGCAAAAGTAATAAACATTAAATAAACAAAAGAAAAGCAGCCACAATCGATCAAAATGTTGATGACTTAATCAGCTGATCACAAGTGTATGTATAAAATGATTTTTAACCTTGGAGGAGGAGGTTATTATATAACGATCTCAAAGCAGTTTACAATGAATTTTAAATGTGTTCTGTCGAAATGATATTTTAATATACTTTACGTAAATACTTATGTACCTTTGTATACAATAAAAGTTTAATAAGAGCAATTCTCTGTGCATACATTTGAAAAAGACGTTTTTGGGTAGGAAATGACTTTTTTTCAGACCAAAAGGGACGTTTTTTGATGCCAAAGACCTGTTATAGTTATTATTAAGGGTCTTTTTAAAGAATTCTTGTTTAAAAACACTTATATTTGTATTATAATTTTGGGCAACGGAAAGAAAATTTCCTTAGAAAAAACTCTTACTAAGCAAGGTAAAGAAAAAAAGTCGAAAATATAAGTTACGAGCAACGAAAAAGAATTTTCATTGAGACTAACTCTTATCATGCAACGTTAAACGAGAAAAGTCGAAAATAAAAATTATGGGCAACGGAAAAAATTTTGTCTTAGGAATAACTCTTACCAAGCAACGTAAAATCAAAAACGTCGAAAATAAAAGTTATGAGCAACGGAAAACATTTTGTCTTGAGAATAACTCTCACTGAGCGACGTAAAAGCAAAAAAGTCGAAAATAAAAATTATGGGCAACGGAAAAAATTTTGTCTTAGGAATAACTCTTACCAAGCAACGTAAAATCAAAAACGTCGAAAATAAAAGTTATGAGCAACGGAAAACATTTTGTCTTGAGAATAACTCTCACTGAGCGACGTAAAAGCAAAAAAGTCGAAAATAAAACTTACGAGCGACGGAAAAAAGATTATATTGTGAATAACACTTACAGGGAAGCAAAACATATTTTGGGTTAAAAATAACTATTATGTAAAGTAACAAAATCTTATTTATATTTAATTTAATAGTTATCGACCAATTTTTTTCGATATTCCTTATAACAGTTATGTCTCTGAGTATTTCTGTTTTTTATTTTATAAATCCAAAATACCAATTATTTCTAATTTTTATACTATATGTCTTAGATAACAGTTACTGAAGACTTTTATTTATAAAAGTTATCAATAAAAATCAGTCGATGACTTTTACTTTTAAAAGTCAGTAATACAAATCAGTCAACGACTATTAATTTTTAAATCATTCATATAGGGTTAGGTTAGGTTAAACGGGCAGCTCAGCGAAGAGTTCACTCGAGGGCGCGAAGGCCCATTGCGATGCCCCAAGCCTATCCCTACATGTCTTCGAACCATTTTGATTTTCTGGCGAATCCTAGCAGTCCTTCCAGAGGAGCTTTACCCAAGGTATCCAGGTTCTCGAAGAAATTGTCCCCAAGAAACTTGAGGCGTTTTCCTCGAAATGCTGGACACTCGCAAAGGAAATGCTGGACGGATTCTAACTCCTCTTCATCCCTGCAGCTTCTAACGAAATCATTATGCGGGGCTCCGAACCTGGCGGTCATGTGGCCAATGGTCCAATGTTCCATTAGTATTCCTGTGAGAAGCCTAACGTTTGGCTTTGAAAGCCTTAGTAGACTCCTTGTTCTTCGTTCATCGAGCCGTGGCCAGAGCGAGCGCGATAGCCTGCAGTTGTGCAGATTTTTCCGCCTACTGTTGGTAGCTGCCCTAGTCAGTCTCGCGAATTCTGAATACAGAAATCGCAGGAGAGGTTTGACGATGTGGATTGCTTCCCCGAGCCCCGTCTCAGATCCCTTCTTAGCAAATTCGTTCACTTCCTCATTTCCGCAGGACCATATAAAGATTGATTATTGTTGTGTTTTTTTACAAATTATCCAGTAACTTGCCAGCAACTCTCCAGTAAATTTATTTCTAAGAATTCGCCCTCATAGAAAAAATTTGCAATAAAGTACGCGAACGCTTTTCCAGTAATAATTTGCAAGTTTCATGAACAGCTGATAAATTGGTTGTTTATTCGCAGCAAATTCCTAATAAAACAATATATTTTGTATTTAAACAGATTTATTTTGTGAAATTCAACAATAAAATCCCACAAACAGTTTCCTTATTAGTTTAAATTTCACCCAGCAACATGCAATCAGCTGTTTTTCGTACTGGCAAGTTCTTACAAGTAAAAATTTATCCAGTAAAATCCAGTGAAAACTTGCAACTTCATTCATTCATTCGTCATTTTTCGCTCTCTTAATTTCCCCTACTTTGCAAGTCTTTGCGTACGAAAACGCCAAAACATGAAAATTTGTAAAAACGTTTACTGGATTTTACTGGAAATGAGTAAAAAAACGCAACTTATGTGTCGTTGTAGAGCTTCTAGGGATATTCGGCGTTCTTTAATGCATATAGAGTTGGTCATTTCCGACCCTAAGGCTTTGNCAGCTGTTTTTCGTACTGGCAAGTTCTTACAAGTAAAAATTTATCCAGTAAAATCCAGTGAAAACTTGCAACTTCATTCATTCATTCGTCATTTTTCGCTCTCTTAATTTCCCCTACTTTGCAAGTCTTTGCGTACGAAAACGCCAAAACATGAAAATTTGTAAAAACGTTTACTGGATTTTACTGGAAATGAGTAAAAAAACGCAACTTATGTGTCGTTGTAGAGCTTCTAGGGATATTCGGCGTTCTTTAATGCATATAGAGTTGGTCATTTCCGACCCTAATAGCCGCCTGAATGTCAACAACGAAGGCAAGTTTAGATGAAGCTAGGTCGATCATGCTCACCAACCTTGCCGCCATATGGATTGTTAATTCTCTTCCGATATCCATTTTCGAGCCGTACGTGAAGGTAGGTATTTCATCATCGCTGAGAGCAATACTAAATTCCCAGTCACTTCTGTCAAGAAAATGGATTTCGAAATTTCGATTGAAGTCAATTTCCGTGTGTTGTAAGTAACAGTTGCTGTACTCCACTCTCTCGAGGATTGTGGCGTGACCCTTGCAAGTTGTTCGCAGCCTGTTAGATGCAATGAGTCGTAGAGTACTTTTAGCTGCGATACCTTTAACCTATACCTACTATGGGTGGAATGTCCAGGAGGGAATCATTCATATAAAAGTCATTAACATTTTTCGCAGTTAAGTTAAGTAAAAGTCATCAATAAACATGACTTTTAGTTTTAAAAGTCATCAATAAAAATCAGTCACCGACTTTTATTTTTTAAATGATTTTAACTGATTTTTATTTACAACTTTTATAAATAAAAGTCTTCTATAACTGTAAAAATCAAAACTAACTGTTATTTAAGGAGTAATTAAATAAAGTTAAAAAAATAATTGTTAAAGAGCGATTTTTTTTAATAAAAGTTGTAACTGTTACGGTCCCTGATTTACTGAGAAAAAAATTCTCCCATTTAAAAAAATTTGTATTCCAATTTTAAAAGGTGTCAGTGGGCGTTTGAAGTTTTTTTGGCATTTTTGAAATTATTCGCTAAAATTGTACATAAGAGTCTTATTTACTTTACAGCAAAAACCAGAGCAAATTTTTCTTATAATTTGTTGAAAAACCCTAAGTAAACTCTCCCTTGTATATATGGTTAGCATGTATTAAGAAATGGTTTTCACATTTTCTGACAAACGTATAATTTTGAGTTGTGCCACCTTTGAAGATCGTGTGCGATATCATCGCATGGAATTGCGAGGTATTTAGTTCATAACATTTATTAAACATTTCAAATTTGGATTTAATACTCTTCATAAGAATGAATGCAAAATGAACATATCGGTACCTTAATATAGAAAGGCCTCATCATCATCATAATCAATCAAAAAGTGAGGTTGGGATTTATAGTTAGTTACGGCTGTTTTTATTTCAGCGATTATGTGAGATAGGGCATTGATATACATATGTATTAAGGTAACGATATGTATGTATGCCTGCTTGCCTACCTTGGTGTTATTTCTTTCAAAGCATCATCATTCATTTCCTCCACCATTTTTATTATATCGTAAGGATTTTGTGGTGCTGGATAAGCGCGCTCCTCCAGGACACTTTCATTACACTGGCAATATGATGTAGACACGTGCACGAGAGTTTTAAGGCTAGTCATTTTTTCGGCTAGCTGGAGTAATTTTAATGTGCCGGCAACATTCATACGAATCATTGGGCGAAGAGGCTGATCAAATCTGACATTGGCAGCACAATGAAATATCACTTCAACATTCGCTGCTAATTCGTTGGTGTCATTTGCGTTCAAGCCGAGGCCTTCTTCCACCACATCACCTTTCACGACTTGAATTTTATTCACGATCTCAGGATTTTCCATCAAAACTTTATTGAAGATCTGCAAGCAAATTTAAATATGTATGTAAGTATGAGCAGAGACATAACTGTTATAAGGAAAAAAAATTGGTCCATTACTAATAAATTAAATTCAAATAAGATTTTGTTACTTTACTAATAGTTATTTTTAACCCAGAATATGTTTTGCTTCCCTATAAGTGTTATTCACAATATAATCTTTTTTCCCTCGCTCGTAAGTCTTATTTTCGACTTTTTTGCTTTTACGTCGCTCAGTGAGAGTTATTCTCAAGACAAAATGTTTTCCGTTGCTCATAACTTTTATTTTCGGCGTTTTTGATTTTACGTTGCCTGGTAAGAGTTATTCCTAAGACAAAATTTTTTCCGTTGCCCATAATTTTTATTTTCGACTTTTCACGTTTTACGTTGCATGATAAGAGTTATTCGCAATGAAAATTCTTTTTCGTTGCTCGTAACTTATATTTTCGACTTTTTTGCTTTTACGTCGCTCAGTGAGAGTTATTCTCAAGACAAAATGTTTTCCGTTGCTCATAACTTTTATTTTCGGCGTTTTTGATTTTACGTTGCCTGGTAAGAGTTATTCCTAAGACAAAATTTTTTCCGTTGCCCATAATTTTTATTTTCGACTTTTCACGTTTTACGTTGCATGATAAGAGTTATTCGCAATGAAAATTCTTTTTCGTTGCTCGTAACTTATATTTTCGACTTTTTTTCTTTACGTTGCTTAGTAAGAGTCTTTTCTAAGGAAATTCTCTTTCCGTTGCCCAAAATTATACATACAAATATAAGTGTTTTTAAACAAGAATTCTTTAAAAAGACCATTAATAATAACTAATATCACTCTGTTCTCGACATTCGAAAACTCCACTTTTTTCATTAAATTGTTTCTTTAACTTGTGCTCAGTTTTGACTCTTAATATATGTCAAACTTATTATAAATTTGTGGTTAATGCTGATATCCATTACAACGCTATATGGCCAAGGTGCTTAGGGGATGCGATAGATACTACATACATGCATTCCCAATAATAATACTCAAGTGTTTATCTAACCATTTTTTCAACTATAATTTATAGGTCCGAAGAAAACCTATAAAACCCCGAAAAATGCAATGGGCGGACCAATAAAAAATCGTTAGTATTAAAAAATTATTAAATAAACAATAGTGTATTATTATTGAAAGTCTCTTGAAGAGAACTAGAGTTTTCAGATCGAAGGACATTGATTTTCAAGAATTCTATACTATTTCTACGAAAAGTTGTTTTTTTTAATAAAAATACATGGAAAACTTTGAGCGCTTTGAGCGACCTCTAAATATTTTTTGATTTCAAAATAAAAAATAGGCATATACTCAAATTTCCGNATAAAAATACATGGAAAACTTTGAGCGCTTTGAGCGACCTCTAAATATTTTTTGATTTCAAAATAAAAAATTGGCATATACTCAAATTTCCATATAAAACAATCCTAGGGGGTGAGAGCATTACAACTCCGACTTTACTGTTTTTGGACCACTCAAATACACATACATACATAGAAATATTTAGAATCTAAAGGTACATACAATCTGTCGCAAAAAGAATAACCCTATTTTCTTTTGCTGTCATTCCAAAAATATTTAAAGTATAGTTATATTTTAGCGGCATATGTTTACTAGGTGCCATAAATGTAATTTTTTTATGATTGGAAAATTATATCTGATGGGTGGTTGCCAACAGAGTTGATAGAAATTTCGCCTCAGTTTACAGAATTTTGAAGACTTCTGGCGTTAGATGGTCGATTTCTTGGCAAATGTTGCTCTTGAGGGCCTGAAGAGTCTGCGGCTTGTTTGATCGAATAACGCCACAGAAAGTACCCAGAAGTAGTTAAAAACATGACTATATTTTAGTTAATTCCAAAAATTAGCCTTTTCATGCTTGCACTACAATGATTTTTTTTTGCGCCGACTTCCTAAAGTATTTTAGACGCTTAAAGTGCAATTTTTCCTACAATCAAAAAATAGTTGCTGTTTACGTATTATCTTTGAAATCTATGCATATTTGAAAGAAATCATAAAAAAATACTATTTTAGCCAACAACTGGATGGAATAACACCAATATAACCTTCATAAGATGTGCTGCCCACACCCTTCAGCTAGCAATTAAAGATTTTGTTTCCACGAAAACTCAGCTAATAGATCGAGCAAGACAAATTGTTAAAACCTTAAGAACTCCAAGTTTTCGGTAAGAAATGTTTTAAACGTTGATAAAAAAAATAAAAATTTATTCAAAACAGTCATATTTTACAAATTCTCAATTTGGGGAAGCCACAGCTGGATGTCCCGACAAGGTGGAATTCAACCTTTATGATGCTGGAAAAGTTAATGCTCTTTAAAGATGTGTGCATAAATAACCTGAAGGGCTCACTTTCTTCAGATTAATGGGGTGAGATTGAATCTTTGGTGAATGTCCTAAAGCCGGCTTATACACTGACACTTAAGTTGCAAGAACATCAGTTATTGCTAGGAGATTTTTTTTAAGTCCTGGCTAACAATAAAAATTCTCTTAAAAGAGCAAGCAGCGACAACGTCTTTGCCAACAACGCTTCTCACATGCATACAAAGAAGGGAACTTGAGTTGATTGAAAATGACGTGGTTATTGCAGCTCTATTTTGGGACCCTCGTTTTCGTCGCACACTCAATTCAGCGCAAAAAGATAAAGCTAGGCAGCATTTAAAACATCTTGAAAAGCGCCCATTTTTTTAAACATGGTTTTCATAGAGAATCAATCAGGGATTACGAGGGTATGACCTTAAATCCCTAATTTATTGGTATTCACTATGTAAATCAGCTTCAAAACTTTGCAGCGCAAAGAAAGTGTGACACCAAATTGTATGTCCGATACGAAAAAGAATGCCTCATATATATGTATTTCATTACTACAACGCATAACCAAAAAACTTCAAAATAAAAGTTACGAGGAACTAAAAAAGAGACAAAAGTCGAAAATATAAGTTATGAACAACGAAAAAGAATTTTCATTGAGAATAACTCTTATCATGCAACGTAAAAAGCAAAAAGTAGAAAATAAAAATTATGGGCAACGGAAAAAATTTTGTCTTAGGAATAACTCTTACCAGGCAACGCAAATTCAATAACGTCGAAAATAAAAGTTATGAGCAACGGAAAACATTTTGTCTTGAGAATAACTATCACTGAGCGACGTAAAAGCAAAAAAGTCGAAAATAAGAATTATGACCAACGAACAAATTTTAGTTTTGGGAATAACTCTTATAAAGTAACATACAAGTTTTTTTACTGTCCTACGGCCAACGTTTTCCACCTCCAAAAGAAGGCATAACTGTTATTTTGGGTCTCTGAGTATGAGTATATCACCCCTATGCTGTAATCCGTCGTAGATTCGATTTTGCTACGAATCTTAAAATTGGTATGCTGAAATCCGTGTTGACGTGTCGTAGTCTCGAAATTCGTAGGCCATTTTCGAAATTCGTAATGTTAGTATGCCTGAATCCGACGTAGCTGTCATTTTTACCTTCCTCTTATTAGCTCGGGATGTAACTATGTAATATTGATGCGCCTAAAAGATGAAAGCGTTGCAAGAATTAAAGCGGCACAATATCTAGTTGAATGGAGGCCCTTAAAAAGAGGGAGCATGCATTTATCATTTAAGCTAAATGGATCAGAACTGTCTCGTAGCAATCTGCTTTGTATATTAATGCAACAGTTGGCTGCAGCACGTTCTTTCTCCTGAGACAAAAGTGCACCGGCCACTGAATCCATTATATTTTACTTAATTAAGGAAAGGCCTTTTCAATTACGATTAAACAATTTTTTTTTAATTTCACTGTTCACTTGCGATTATATTTATTTTGATTCATTTCTGTCAGCTGCAGCTGATTAAGAACTTCGAATTTCACTATTTTAGTTGGTTACTATCGGATTACAATATACCAATTTCCGAATTTTCGGCAGGCAGTTACGAATTCGTAACTACGAACTTTCGGATTACAGCATACGGGTGTATAATTCAGCGAGTTATATTAAGTATTATAATCGAAATCCTAATTTAACGTAATTTTGTAATTCAAATGCAGAATATCGCGAAGTGGTTTATCGACGGGAAGGCAACTGAAATTGTTTACATTTAATGTAACCTACCTACGTTTTTACATGTTATTTTATCCCTTTCACCTCGCTTATATTAACTTTACTTTTGACTATGTAATTTATGCACGCTTACCTGGTTATCAGGTTATTTGTTTAAAAATTATTATTGTGTAGTGTATTTTATTGTTGTAAACTGAATAAAACATATAACCACATAAACACATAATCTGATAACCAGGCAAGAGTGAACAACCCTATGTAATTTATGCAGTGGTTAAAAATTTGCAGCAATTTTGAGTCTTACTTAGGGTTTACACCGGACAATACTGAAATTACAATAGCAATACATGCACACTGCACATGCATAATCGAAATTGGCAAAAACGGTCGAAATCGCAGACAGAAAAACGTTGGAGACGAACCAAGCTGAAAATACAACGAAGTCCGAGCAGATCGTAGTAGGTATACATACGGTGACCATATTAACCAACGTAAAATAAAGGACATTTTTTTTAATGATTTGGGAATACGTACATACAACTTGTATGATAAGAGTACCTTACCCATATCGTCATTTAAATCAAATATTTACCAGTTTATTATGTTATTTAATTGTACAAGTTCCTCTGCTATAGTGAAAAATTAAGCCAGATTCTTTTCAAGGACTTCGCCATCCTTTGTTACCAAAATGCGTTTACCGTAATTCATACTGCACGACGAAGCCAGCATACTGTGGTTCAAAATTGGAATTTAATGTTCATAATGCACCGGAGACTTCATTCTTCAACCAATTTTTTTGTATTTTTTTTTGTTTTGGGAGAACCATACATTTGTTTTCAACAAGTTTTTGTTATGTAACATTTATTAGGTGGAACATTTTCTTCAGATTGCTACTTTTTATGCATTTTGCACTAA